ACTTTATCCAGTGGTAAAATCCTACCATCACATGGCCCTGTAATCTGTTCACTTATCCCTGGCTTTTTGGGCTCGCTTCCCCTGAAGCTTTTCCATCACACACTGTTAGAGGAGCGTCTCCCACAGGCTGGAGCAATTCTCCCTCTTTGTCTCCATCGTTGTTATTTCAATTTTCTGCCTCTCCTCCTTGAGCCCCACCTTTAGGACCACACTCTGCAACGTAGTTTAATTGAGACTGTAGCACAGATATACTCCAAATAAAGTAATTCTGTATAGAAAGTGAGTGACAAGGTGCAATTCAACATACAAATCCACCATGTTAAATTTTCTTTTTTTTATAACATAAAACAGTTTAAATGGGAATTTTTTCTTTGAGCAAAACCAAAAGCCATTTCATGAAGTCGGACATGTAGGTATAAACATGGATACTGTACATTAGTCAGTTCTTGCATGTATATATATTTACTGCCATGGGGAATTGAACACTGTTAACACTGTTACTCAGGCTGGGACGGGTCATCTGGGACAGTACAGGACTGAATGTTGAGGCTAAAGTCTTGTAGCCCCCAGTCCACCCTCAGGGTGAGGGGGTGGGGTCTTATCAACGGCTTATCGCTTTACACACATTGTCATATCCTAGTGTCTTTCCTACTCATGCTGCATCCTCATCCTCTTCCTCCAATCCTTTCCTTCCTTCCTTCAGTCTTTGTCTCTGCAGAACCTCAACGGGCTGTCAGCACCCTGGGTTGGAGGTTTCCCTTGGAAAGGAGAGGTCCATGTTCTGAACATAGACAAATAGCAAGAGTCTGATAACCTCTGAGCTGGGTGTTACACTGCCAGGTGACATGAAGCAGACCTCCTTCTGATCTCTTTCTCTTCAGAAACAGGAAACCCAAACAGAGTTCTCTCTGCTCGCCTACGGTAACTGGAGGTGTGACTTCTTGAGGCTTTATTATCAGAAGAAATGTTTGTAAAAAGATTTAAGAAACACTGTGCCCTATATTACTCTGCAGGTACTGTTGAATACATGACCAGGCGTACTATAATATTAACTACTACATACCTATGCCCTACATGTTTGTTTTTAAAAAGGCAAAACAAAAAACAAACAAAAAAAAGCAGGGAAGAGAAAGGAACATGGAGAAGATATGAAAGAGAGAGGAAAATAAAGAAGAAAATGAAGAAAGGCAACAACAACAACAAAAAGAACAACAAAAGAACAACAACTAAATGAAGAAAAATCCAGGAACGGAGAAGAAGAAGAACAACATGAAGAAGTGACAAGTTTGGAACCAATTAGGTCTGAAGTCTCACCTAAAAAAATTATGTAATGCCCTGAATTTCACCGCATTATCATGGACACACACATCAAAACACATTCCAACACACACACACCTCTAGGGAGAGAAAGGTGGAGTTGAGCATGCAGTGAGACCTTCCAGTCCTGTGACCTTATTATTATTCAGAGCCAGCGGTGAGAAGATGAGCAGCACTGTGTTCCCAGAACTGCACACCCCCTGCAAGAGCGTGACGTGCACGGATGTGAGTGTGTATGTGTGGGCTGGGTGCCCCCAAACACACACACATACACTTCCTCCTGGGAGATAGGAGGCCTCTGCTTTCTGTCAGGGTGTCCTCTGCAGCAGACCCCTGGGGCCTCCTGCTTGGTGGGAATCTGGTCTTCTCACTCCACAGATGCCCCCTCCCTGCAGATCAGAAGGAAAACAAGACCTGAGGAAGACTCTGTGGCTCATCTTCTGCTATTGTCTCCCATATTTTTCCCCACTGTCCCCCTCCTACGCCTGCGTCCCCTTCTCTTCTTCACTTTCTTCTGTCTCTGTGGTCGATAATGTTAATTGGCTCACTCAGTCACAGGTACATTGATTGCGGTCACTAATAAAAGGGCTATTGATTGGCACTTTGTTTAACACTGGTCCATGCGGTGAGATCTGCCCTCTAATACCATCCTGACAGCAACCTTTTCCTGTTGGCCAGACTCTTAATGTCATAAATTATGTCAGTCGATTAAAGAGTTTCTTGCCCTGTCAGTGCAAGGACATTTTGAGGAAACACCACCTGAAAACTGGAGCAAAGCAGCCAATGCAAAACAGCATCTGCAGACACAATTATGCACAGTATTAAAGTCAACTTTCATTGAGAAATAACTTAATTTTAACAACCAAGTGACTCAATTATACTGGACTTTGCAAGTGTGGTTTAGTTGTTAAGATAAAAAAAATGATATAAAAAAAGGTGTTTTGTTCTCCTCACTGAGGAACACCAAGAAGCAGTGATAGGGAGCCTATCACAAAACCACTGCCTCCCCATTTTGTTACTGTTTATAAAACAACAAAATGTTTATTTATTTTTTATCATAAAAATATATATAACTAGACATAGGTTTCAAAAATAGTTACATCAAGGGCAACTGGATAGAGTAGGTTTCAGTAGGAAACATTTGGCCTCTCATCCAAGAGGCTTCTTCAGTTCTATCACAATTATCAAGTGTAATTTTGTTTTGGATTATTATCAAAATACATTCTACATGATAAATGTTGCAAATGAAGAAAACAAATCTCAATTTAAGCTCAGTATGTCTTATGCAGCTTTACTGAGTCGAAGGTGATGAAAGCTGGAAATAGGGTGTAAGTACTTCCAGCAGAGATTTAATTATCACCATTAAATATTCAATGATCAATAGAATTTGTTTTAGCCGATCAATAGGTGGCCAGGCCTGAGAAAGGACAATGTGCATAAGTTACTATTTGCATTTCAAAACAGCTTGTGTCACGTGGCCCCATTGGAAATCCATACCATTTTGTTAGGCTGTATTTCATATTTAGCTGCTTCATCCCTTTATCACTGACTGCTATTGATTCAATTCCCTTTATTTACTGCCTGAAAACTGCCCCAGGTTTAAAATGTCAGAATGTTTTTAGTGAGTCTTATGTGCCCTATGTGCCTTCCTCCATCCATATCTAACTTTTTATTTCTCTCCTCCTAATTCCATCCCCCCCCCCCTTCCCATCCTTCTTCCCTCTCACTGCTCCTCTCAGTTAAAAGGGAAATTAAACCCTGTCATCTTCCCACCCACCATACACAGACCTCTGCTCACTCAGGTGTGAATCTGCACATTATTTAAATAATATCTCAGGAGTGTCAGGGGAATATTCTGAGCTACTTCAAAAACACCCACTCCCCCCTGCTGACACTTTAATGTTGCATGTCCCTGCTGGAACCCCTATTTTGTTTACCTGAAGTGCCTGTGAGATGCATGTTTTCCCCGGCACCTATCACATGTTTATGAAACAAAATTCATCCAAACTCAAGTGCATGCATGCTCAGGTCTCACCTGAACTTTGATTGTTTTGCAACACAGAATGTGAAGTTTTGTTTTGACCAAACATGTTGCTTCTGTTTTT